AGACTAGGGTTTCTAAACCTGAGAACTACTGGCATTGTTCGCTGGATCATTCTTCATAGGGGTCTATTCCGTAGGACGTTTAAGAGCATCCCTGGCTTCTAACTGCTAGATGCCAGGAGCATATTCTCCCCCTTCCTCACTGCCCCACCCCCCAACCCCAGTAATGACAACCAAATTCTCCAGACTTTGCCAAATATACCCTAGGGGAAAAATAGACCTTAGCTGAGAATCACTGGGTTAGGCAAATATAAAGGTCATCCTATGCATAATATACTTTGTAATTTCCACATATACTGCTTTTTCAGAGACAGAAGCATAGTGGATATCAGTGGGCCCTTTGTACACGAAAGCGATGTGCTAGGAAAGGGGAAGCCTCTGGTGGTAAAGAGGATCCCAAACTTGTTATCCTAGCAGTCACAACATTATTTTGAAATTTCAAATAACATTTAAGGGATATGATTTTTGTGTGTGTTTATCAAATGTTTTTTTTTTTTTTAAATGGTTGAGAAATTGAGATAGAGAATAAGAAACTATCCAGAAAATGATTTCCTTTCTTTACAAAACACACTGTATTATTAAACAGAGATTTAAATACTTGGAATCTATGCTTGAGACGATATAGGACGACATTACCAATCACAGCAGTTGCCATGTAGTGACAGCTTAGTATGTGTTAGATACTATACTATAAGCATTTAATACACAATAGTTTATTTAAGACTTACAACCTCACCTGGTAGTTAAAAGAATTATCTCTATTTTACAGATAGGAAAACTGTGGCTCAGAAAAGTTGAGAAACTTGCTCAAAGAAAGACTATCATGAGCTTCTTCTGAATTTCCAATAATATATTCATAATTACATGTATTTTGTTTAATGCCTTTTGATAAGTTGATTTTATCTCAAATATTTAATGTACTAAAAGAGGAATTCGGTATGATGTTTTCATAAGTTAACATACTACTTCATGCTGATCTTAGAGGCCATGGATAATTTATATTTAATGCTGTGGAAAATGAACTCTTTCCACATATATAATAAGTAGGTAGGTGATACACAACAGTGTTAAAACTTGGCTGGTACAGTTTGTTGTTGTCCCTTGCAAAAGTAATAAAAAGACAATTCATAGTCTATTTTAAAAAATCTGAAAAGTAGAGAGATAAAAACAACAGAGTGATATAAACTAAACGCCAAATTTGTAATGATGAATTTCACAAAGTGAGAGTAGCTGTTGTGATAATTGTGATCTTTGTGCAGTTCAGCTCAGTGAACTCTGTGCCTGTTTATTTTCAAAGATAATTATTTATGGTGACAGAATGCTTCAGGACGACTGAAAACAAATCTACAGAAAAGTCTAAAACTTTTCTTTAAGGAAGATTTTAAACTTAATTGCTAACAAGCCATACATGTTTGCAAAGGTCTATTAACAGCTGATTTTCTTGAAATGCTTGTTATTTATCATCTGATAAAGGTGCTAATGTGTATTTAAATGGTTTAAAGTCAGAGTAAGAAGCCGTAGCAAAAAATATACTCGATAATTAGAACTTGAAATAACTGGGACTTTTTCTTAATACTTTCTAACAACTATGCATTTCTACTCAGCTCTTGCAAAAGGAAAATTAAAAACAGCACATTTCATGGCCATTTGTGGTTATTCATGTTATTTGAATTCTGAGTTATTTTTGTAACATGGTTGGTGGACACCCCAAACATGTCCTTTGGTGAATGACCAAAAAAAGGCTTTCTCCAGAAATAGATTACACATTGGTCTCCCCCGAGCCTGTGGAACTGAAGTGACAAGCACCAGGGAAGGAAAGCAAAGCAGCTGCTGCCCCCGCCAATGACAGGAAATAGCCCCCCATTCTCTCCAGGACCAGCGGGGCTGGCGTGAATAATAGCTATCTCACTTTTTCAGCATAAACAAGAAATGAAATTGTTCCTTTCCAGGCTAATCACAAAGTAAAGGGTAGTGTGCCCCTGCAGTAACTCACCAGATGATTTTGAATACATCTGTGTGTGCATACCACATAGACACATGTTACAGCACACATCCTAACACTGTTGAACTGTGATGGTGGCGGCTATAAACGCCTTTTCCGCCCAGGAGGGCTTCTCTCATTTGCTCAGTCTGGGTTAGACACTCCAACATTTTTCTCCTACTGAGACCCGAAGGATAAGCAGATGCTGGTTGGGCAGAGAGGGAGAATAAATACCAGCTTGGCTACACTCTGGTTGTGTAATATCCTCTCCATTTACCTGGTTTTTCATCTATAAACATGAGGATTAATAATACCTGACCATCATGCTTAATGTAAGGATTAGAAAAATTATATGTAACTTGGTACAGGGGCTTAATCGATGGTAGTGGTTGTTTGTTAATGAAAATTACATTCTTTTTGTTAGTTTGGTTTTAACAGTAGTCTACTGAATCTGAGCAATGTTCTCGGATATTAACATCATTTTTCATACTATATTCAATTACCTTTTTGTTGAATTAAAAATGAAATACTGTTCCATTTAAACTTCTAGCCTATCATCCTGAAAACTGCAATCTATGTCCATGCTATAATACAGTCATTTTCTTCATTAGAAATGAAGGGTTATAGGCTATGGGTCCTCTAATAGGCCATTCTTGGACTAAAATTCTAATATTTTATGATGAATAGTCTCATTTCTACTATTTCCTATATTTTGCTTGGTTGTTAGGTACGATGTTTTGAATATTACCCCGTGTTACTTATGTTCTGAAATTACTATAATTATGCATTGTAATTACAAAAGCTGAGTTGGAACATCAAGTACTAGTATTATGAGTTCTTTTAAAAAATATACAGTGCATCTTCCTTATGAGATTTAAAAACAGCTAACTGATATATCAGCAAAGCTGCTGCTACAGACATGACAGTGCTGAGTTCTAATGGAACAGTTTGCTGTGCCAAAGGCTTTCGACTGGCTACTATTGGTTCAGGAGTCACTGACAGGCTGCTACTATAGACCACCTGAGCACCCACAAAACAAAAGAATATTGAGCTGAATAAAACTCCCATCCAGTTCAACTTCCCAATGCACAGATAAAGAAGGCAAGATACAGAGTCTGCTTGCCAAGACTGGGTTCATAGTTACAAAGACCTTTTCAATTAAGACATCATATGATCCCTTTGAAGCAGTAAGGTACTACTACTTCAGGACGGCACTCAAGATGTGCGACTGAAATTCACGCCCTAACTCCATGCTGTTCCCATGATTCTTTTCCTTTCTCGAACTCAGGGCTTTAGTGCATCAGTCCCAACTCTTTAATGCCTGGGGATAACCTTTGCTCCAGGGTCCATGTGAAAGGCAGATTCAGGTCTGCGTCCTTGCTCTCCTCAATTCAGTCACCTGGATATGGCTAGAAGTGGCCCAGCCCTGCAGAAAGACCTGATGAATTACAGGGACCTGAGTGCGTGTGTGTTACCATGGTTACTGCCTCCTTTACAAGTGTGATGTCACTTCCTTTTCACTTGTAGCCCGGGAGGAAGGAACTCTAGGAATGGAAACCAACTGTGGGCTAGGGGTGATGTTGTTTCATCTCTCCATTGTTAGTAGTGAGGGTTCTAGTCACATCCACTTAATAGGAACAGGACCTTGGGAAAATCTGAGTAAAAGAAGAATTCGGACTACATTGTCTTGGAGGTTCCTTCTAATTTAAAAATTCTGTGGTGCCATCATTTTATTTGGTAAGGAAAGAGTTCCACTCTTCTAGGTTAAACAAACACACATAATATATAATATTTTCATTAAAGGAAAGAAGCTTTATTATACTGTACTTCCTTGAATGGCTAACCAAAGGCAATGGAAGTGAGAGCATGACAGTGAAACCCTGATCCCAGGGAGTTAGACTTCTAGCAGCCTTAGCTATTGGGGGCACAGCTGTGAACCAGAAGGTTGTAATTGCAAGAAAACCCTACTCATTCAGCTCCTAAGAAGACATAAAGCGATAGCTTCTATTCTTTTTCAGAACAATTAAGATAAAACAAGGGGAAGGGATTTTAAAATGTAGGCTTTCTTAGAGTAGAAACTCTTCTGGAGATTGTTCATTGATTAAAGGGCTGTGGAATGGGAAGCACAATATGAATGAAAGGGGGACAGAAACTAGTAAGTTGCTACTTCAGAACAGTGGTCTTTTTACTCCCCAGCTCCCCAATCCCCTACTTCATCTCACAGTAAATACTTAGGAAAATACATTAATTCTATCTGGTCAGTCAGATTAGGCTTGGGTTTTCAGATATTACTTCTCACATCTAAGACAAGAAATGTACTGATTCCCAATGACGCAATCAATCCTCTCTCTGGTTGAATTTTTTCCTGAAGCAAACTTGGTACTTAAGTAGGTGATTCACACTTCTTGGCCAGAAACTCATTCATTAAAAATCAAGCATTCCCCTATTGCCACATGTTATTTCTTGCTATTTCTTTCTCCCTCCCTCTTGGCCTCAGCTGCAACAGACAGTCTAGAAATTTCAGCCTAGTCTCCAGGAACACAGAATGATCTCTGGTTGGTGGCTGAAAGTTTGCACAGAGACTTCTCTTCAGAAGTGTGGTCTTTAAATCCACAGTCCATGGATTAAACTGACATTTAATGATAAACAAGTGCTACATTGTTTCTTTGAGCCAGTTAAGTGAAATGAAATAAAACTCCTTTATAAATGGAACATATACTTATGGGAAAATCCATTTTACGCGCGTCCCTATAAAATTTGTATGCATTAAAGTACAACATGCCAAGAGGCCTTTCAAAAGACTTTAATGTTTGCTCTTTTTCTTCTGAGCCAAAGAGTGAAAAAAAAATGAATTAATTACTGCTTTGAATCCTTAAGGATATATATTTTACTCTCTTGCCTCAGAAGAAGATGACAAAATGAGATCTTTAAATGACCTGAATAAGAACAACTAACGGTCAGGGTGCCGGCTCCATATTCCATGTTTCTGTTTTATGACAGTTGACACAAGTTTCAAGCCTACCTGTTCCTCGCTCCTCACCGTCGTCGTCTTTCAGCAGCTTGCCAATGGAATTATACCACTTGAACTGTGGGTTAGGGATGCCATAAACACTACAATTAATCAAGGCACTGTTCCCTTCCTTGACTATGATATGGTCAGTTCTGGCAATGATTACGGGCACAGAGCCCAAGACCGTGTCAGTGCCATTTAAAGTGCTGTTAGTCACACTCTTAGCGGTCGCTAGAGTGGATACTAGAATTAAAAAGGGCACAGAAGGTAGAAAGCACACAGGCAGATGGCTCTTCAATCGATCCATCTTCTTTGCTTGCTCTGTAAGGCAACAGAGATGGTTTGCCAATGGAATTGTCTATCGGACAACACGCTGTTCAGAGCTGGCCGGGGGACAAACTTGTCTTGGATCCATAGAGCTGGTTCTTGGTTAAGAACCTGTTAAAAAAAAATGTACATACATAAATATTAGCATCTACACTTTAAATACATTATTTATAAAACGTTAGAAACCCAGCTAAAATACAAACCCACATAATTTTTAAACAACACACAAATTCAGAACATGTTCCAAATATTAAATTATATTTTTCACAAAAATCATAAATAATTTTGTTATTTTTGCTATTGAAACATATAGCTCTTGTAGGAACAATAATATATATCTTATGTTAAATTTATATGACATTACTTTGGAGAGTTAAAAAACTGATTCAGGCTTCTTTCCTTCGGTATGACAAATCACTTTCTACACTATCACCTGAGTTCAACGTGGGTGACCTGATTGTTCACCTGGGGTGTTCCTTAACCTCATATCTTCCTGTGAACATGACTTCCTGTTTATTTCAGTGGTCACAGCTCTGCCAGCATTGGGAAGAGCTCCACCAGAATCAGTCTGGCATTCTCCTAACTCTGCATTACAGCTTCCGGGTCACTCCTTCCCTCCGCTTTCATGCATCTACCCGCACTCCTTTGAGCTCCAGGCCATCCAGCTCTCTCTGCTTCATGTAATTGTTATCTACTGTCTCCTGATCACTCACAGAATGCCCTGGTTTCGATCATCTGCCTTCCAGAGGCTGGGCAATATCAGTTATGTATGGGGTGACATTGCGGGTGGCTGTACTTCCATGTCCAAAGATCTAACCTTCACCTGCATCGCTATCGTCTATTTCATCCACAAATCATATGGCCACATTCTAGACCTTTCGTCTCTCCAAATTCTAAATTCTAAAGTTCCGAGACATTTTGAAGTTCTAAATAACCCTCTTTTACTGTACCCTACCATTCCTTCAGATCTCTTACTCCTCTCACTAGACTTTCTAGCCCTTCTATTTTTCTAGGTCTGTATCTCCTTCTCCACCCCACCCCCACCCCAAACTGCATGCTCCAATTCTCTCAGTCTAGACCCAATATCCTCACCCCTTATTCTCAGCCACAACACTGCCAGTATACAGTTGTGATCAAGCCAATCACTTGTCCTAGTTCCTACACCCAGGAGGCTGGAGCACTACTGGAGAGAATCATACGACCATGTTATTGCCAAAATAAAGGAATCGTCCCCAATGCTAGCTGGGCTTTTGGTGACATTTGGCAATCTGGTTATCAGGGCTTGGTTGGTTCAGTATTTGCTTTTCACAATGTTATAAACATCTTCAGCTTTCAAATCAAGCACCTTAGCTCAGTGATATTTTTTATCTTTCTCAAAAATCACCTTTCTCCTACTAAGATTTGCAGGTATGAATTCCCATTTCCCCGCCTTTTAAAAAGAATCTTGCATTTTATCCTAAAGTCTTCCCCTGCCATGTACTTCAAATTATTCCATTCTGTGTTTTGCCTGTTCTTTATTGAAACAGCTCTTGCTCAAGTCACCAGTCACTCCTAGTTGCCAAATTTTGAGTCTTTCTCTTGCCAAATCTCTGTGGCAACTGCCACTCTTAACTATTCTTTCTCAAAACTTTCTCTTTCCATGGTTCCCACACTCTGCTTCTCCTAACTGCTCCCATTATTCTTTACTAGTTTCTCTTTTTCTTAGTCCTTAAACGTTAGTGAACCCCTGGAGTTCCATCATTGGCCCTCTTCTCTTTTGACCTGCAGCTCTTCTTATGGTTCCATTCCCATGCCTTTATTACCACCTCCAACCTAATAACTCTCAAATCTATGTCCTTAGTCCTGACCCTTTCCTGAGGTTTAGACTCATATTACTAACTGTCCACTAGACATCTTTGCCAGAATGTTTGTTCTGAAGATAACTCAAAATTAACATTCCCAAACTAAACTCATCGTATCTGCTAAATATGCTGCATTTCCTAGATCTCTTATTTCAGTTCTGGGCAGCACCATCTGGCAGGTTTGCATGGGTATCGATCTTCCATTTGACAATTGCCCTCATACCCTCAGAACATCAGTAACTCTATGTTATTGATTCCACCTCTTAAATGTTGTTTGGATTATTCCATCCTTTCCATCTCCTCTGAGTGAGCCTCAGTTCAGGCCACCCTATATTCTTAGCTGAAATGATATGGTAGCCATGTACACGATCTGCCTGCCTCCAATATTTCCCCAGTTCCCAATCCAATCCCTATAACCATTCTACAACACAGAATCTAATATTAGGCAGGCACTATTCTAGGTCCTAGAGACAGAAGAGTAGAGAAGACAGGTCTTTCCCATTACTTAGAGGTTACATACTAATGGGGAAAAGCAAACAAATACCACACAAATAAGAATTTCAGCTAATGATGCATGCTTTGAAAAACACACTATGATGCACCTGAGTGATGAGTTAGGCAATCCTGAAAAACTTCACTGAGGAGGTGGCCCCTGAGCTGGGGCTCTTTAGGAATCTGCCATGCCTAAACCTGGGAGGAGAGCATTTCAGGAAGAAGAAACATTAAAAGCAACAGAGTGCTACAGGATGGGTCAGAGAAGTAGACAGGCCCAGAGGACCTAGGGCTTTGCAAAGCAGAGTAAAAAGCTTAGATTTTTATCTGACAGTCAAGGGGAAATTTTAAACAAGGGAGTGACAGAATATGGTTTCCTTTTAAAAATCGACTTTACTGTGGTATAATTTACAAACAAAATACCCATTTTAAGTATATGTTTTAATGGGTTTTGACTAATTTATACACTCATGTAACTGCCATAATCAACAAGATATAGAATACTTCCATCACCACCAAAAGTTCCCTCATGTTCCTTTCTGGCTGTAGTTTTTAAATTGATCCATTCCAGTTATTTTTGTTTATGGCATGAGGTATGGATTGAGGTTCATTTTTCTCCCCCAATATGGATATCCAGTGGTTTCAGCATGGTTTGTAAGAAGACTGTCCTTTCTCCAACAGATTATTTTGCCTTCCTGTCAAAAACAATGAGTCTATTTCTAAGCTCTTTATTCTGTTCCATGAATGTTTATGTCTATCCTTATGCCAATACCACACTGACCATACTGTAGTCATTTACTGCCTCATTTACCTTTGTATTTGCAGTGTCTGAAGTTGTCCCTGATACTTGAATTGCTGAATGAATCTCTCTTTCAAGGCATAAATTATGATTCCAATTCTGTAGACAATAAAACTGAAGAGGTACCAGGGGCTGAAAAATCAGCCTCAGGCCATAGGTTCGTTCAGTGGGAAAGACAAAAGTTTTTTTTTAGTGCCATAGGCTTTTCACACTCTGTCCTAGACCAGAGCGCCTTCCTGCCCCGGGAAGGCCAGTGGTCAGC